CAACCGCGTTGCTCTCCGAGCACAGCGCGGACGGGCTATACCAATTAGAAAATAGGCTGAATGTGCAAATTTGTGTTTTGTACTTCTGAACAGCTGCTGCGATGCCCCGTGTTCTCTATGACAATCAGGTCACCAGTAGACTTCTGCATAGAAGTCACTTTGGAACTTCTCGTTTAGACCTGAAATACCAGCGTGCATACGTGCATATGCACGAAAATGCTGAAGGGCAGGGCGTGCATACGCGCTTATGCACGCAGTCGTCAACGTGTCAAACAATGATATTGGTCAGAAAGTACTTCCAGGTTTGACGTACGAGGATTGCAGATTTTTATTTATGGATGAGCACGACATCTATGCGGAGGATAATGCCTTGATACATACGCTACCTTACGAGACTATGAGAGATTTGAGCAGGATATTAGATGCAGGGGAAACTTGGATAGAATTAGGTAAGCCTTCTGAACTTCTGATTGAAGTGGCTTTGGTCCTTGTCAGCTACCAGAATGCCCGACATCTCTACTCAAGATGTCGAAGGTTGTCGTCAGTTTGGTGCTTCTCAGAAGGGAAGTCCATCGGAGTATTTGTTGAGAGTATGGGCCAGCAAAGGATACTCAATTTTGAGCCTGTACAATCTTTTTGCATTGACTAGGATGGTTCGTTGTATGAGGATCATACGAGATCAAGGTTAGTTGTAATATAATTAAGAGGTTTGAGACATGAGAGCGTGCGTGGGAGAGAGCCAAGCGAGAGGTTTAATGAAAAAGTTAAACATTTTTACAGTTTCTGATGCTCATCACTATCTTGAAGATTATGCGCTGACAGCAGATAGTGGTTTGGAGCCGTCGTCAACTCAGAACTATCAGCAATACACCAGAGGTCAACATGTAAGTGTCAACTAATCTGACTAGCTCATGCGACATGGTCGCGCTTACTTTGGCCCTTATTATCTATCGCTCTTTTTTGTCTTTAAGGCAGTGGACGGGGAAAATGGACCCTTTTCAGAGTTTGGTGGAGTTAGGTAGTAGACTCCCCAAGTACACCGTA